TATTAATCAGATTTCTGTCACTGTAACAAATACCTCATATTTCTAAGGTTTATTTGAACTCACAGTTTTAGAGATTCCTGCTCACCATCAGGCAAGTCCATGCTTGTAGGCCTCTGATAGTGTTGTAGAGTAAACCACTCAACTTACCTCTGGGAAGCAAAAAGAAGAGAGTGAGGAGTGGGTGGCATGTCCTCACTGTCCTAAAGACGTCCCACTAGATTTGAATCTCTTTGAACCTTTCTTTGTATGTAGCACCATGCTGTAGACCACATCCTGTATGTAGCACATGAACCTTTGAGGAACAACCAAGATCCAAACTGTAGCAGCCAATTCTCTCAAAATTAATTTAATTCTCCTTTAAAATGTGTATTTGCCATCATTTCAAATATATTTTTAAAGTTTTATTGTGCATTTTCTTTCAAATATATTTTAGCTAACTTTTTTTCCAAACTCTCTAAAGACAATTTTTACCAATTGACTATAAATAGTCACATTTTAAGCATATCTTAATATATCAATGCTAGCTAATATTTACTGAGTGCTACTAATTTGAAATTGGAATAATTCCCTTTTAGGCAAATATTTCATTTAAATTTATTCTCAAGAACATATATCTTTATCAATAGGGCATCCATTTGTTATCTACTTTTGATGTACTTACACATCACATGTTTGGGGGATTCTTTTGATGTCCTTAAGTTCTTGTTTTGTCTGATTTATAATATATAACTTACTTGCCATACTTTTAAGATTTCCTGTACATTCACTCCTCATTTTCTTCCATATTATATTATGATTGCCTTTACTTTGATGTCATATTTTCCTCTGAATATTTTAATGTTAACAAAACTTTAAAAGTGTCATTACTAGTTCAAGGATGTAAGAACATCTTCTCTTTGAAATCAGTATTTGAAAAAGACTGAGAAAGCATTTATTAAAGCCACATTGTGGGATTGCAAGTAGGTTAAACTCCCAGTCTCTCAGAAAAAAATGGCAAGGAAGGTTTTTGCAGTAATCAGGTTTTATGGCCAATGTAATAAAACTTAAGAACAGAATGAAGGAAGGAAACAAGGAGGATTTTCATTTCTGTGACTAAAAGACCTGACAAGGACAATGTTATAGTATAGATATTAGGTGTCCCCTAAAAGCTCATGTGTGAAACAGTGCAAGAAAGTTTAGAGGTGAAATGATGGGGGTAAAAGAACCTTAACCTAATCAGTGCATTAATCGCCTGATATAGATTAACTGAATGGTAACCTTAGGCAGATGAGGTGAGGGTGGAGCAGGTAGGTCCCTGGGGGCAGGTTTGGGGGTTGATATTTTGTATTTGTTGAGCAGAGCTTTTTCTCTGTGTCTTGGTGTGATGTCCTAGCTACTTTCCTCCACAAGTAAACTTTTCCTCCTCTAATTGTTCTTGCCAGGTCTTGTGGTCACAGCAGCAAAAAAGCTGACTAAAACAAACAATTTTAAGGATGAAAAGTTTACTGGGGGGCTCACAACAGGGGTGTTACAGACTGCCAGCTCATTGCTCAGGGGCTGAGGTGAGGCAGAACGCCCTGGTGGAAGTGTGTGGACAATGAAGGCAGCTGGAGACACGAAACCAGGAAGCAGAAAGAAAACTGTGCTCACAAAGAACAAAATATATGCCCCAAAGGTACACACATATCCTCATTTTGAAGAGAAAATGAATGGCTAGAACTCAAAATTTATTCCTTCACTTGAGCAGCTAATATATGCCAATCATTGTTTTGGGTGCTGGAGAAATGGCAGTGAAAAAAAAATCTCTTATATTCTTATTTAGGTGTCTTAACAAAAATGTCTTAAGCATTAGGCTATGTTCCTGTGGCATTCTCAGGTAAGGGGCTAAAATTGAATTTAGAGGTTTAAATAAACCAAGATTGATTTTATACATCAAGACAGATTTTTCACTTCCTGAGACTTCTACTCTTTCATAGATCCTGAGATTAGGAGGGGATTTCTAAAGTAGTTTCTTCGAATAAGTAGTTCAATTTCTCAAGGGATGTTCATATCCCCAAATTGAGAAGTTAAGACTCATGGTAATGGGTTAGCTGGATCATGTGCTAGTTCCATTTCTAATTTTTTTTGAAGGACCTCCCTATTGTTTTTCATAATGATTGCACTAATTTACATTCCCACCATAGTACATGCTGATAGGGTTCTCTCTTTTCCCCACATCCTCACCAATGCTTGTTATCTTTTGTCTTTTGGGAAAAATTTTAAAAATGAAAAAAAAAGAAAATATATATATTTCTCATATATATTTTGAAATCAGTATTTGAAAAAGAGATGGCTGCACTCCCACATTCTTTGCAATATTAGTCACAATATCCAAGATATAGAATGAGCCTATGTGTCCATAAATGGATAAATGGATAATGAAAATGTGATATGTATATATATATACACACACACACACACACACAATGGAGTACTAGTCAATCTTAAAAAAACAACAACAAAAAAAATGGAAATCATATAATTTGTAACATGGCTGAACTCAAAGGAAATTATGTTAAGTGAAATAAGCCAGGCACAGCAAGATAAATACTGGAAGATTTCAATTGCAGATGACATCTAAGAAAGTTGATGTCATATAAGTAAAGAGTAGAATGGCTAGTTACCAAGGGCTGCAGTGGTTGAGACAGTGTTTGGGGGTTGGGGGATGCTAGATGAAGGTTAGAAAATTTTAGTTAGCTAGGAGATAAGTTAAAGACATCTATTGTACAATATGGTGATTATAGTTAATAACATATTATATTCTTGAAAAAAACATTAAGAGAGTGTTGTAATGTGTTCTTATCACAGAAATGATAACTGTGAGGTATTAGTAACTGCTATGTTTTATTAGTAACTGCTAAGTTTATGAACTAGATTTACATGTGTACATGTACCTACATAATGTGCATATACTTCAGAACAATTTTTAGTGATAATTACTATTTTTAGTAGCTAAATTTTGTCACTCTGTCATGTATATATATTTCAGAACAAGTATACATAAAATTTTCTCTGTTAATTAAAAAAATTAATGGCAAAGTCAGAAGCAAGTCTACCAAATGGCCAGCAATTTATTAGATAGGTTCTTTAGTTAATGAGTCAGAGGGACTTTTCTCCCATTACTGTGTTTCTCAGTCAGGCTGGGAATTAAGAGAACAATAGAAGTTCTATATTGTCTTTTATCTTTAAGAACAGCATATAAGTATATTACATCAAACCAGTTCTCTTTATCGTGATCTAAACTTTATCCAAGGCAAAGGGTGAATGTGACTTGATTTTCTTCTTAAATTATGAAGACTGTCCTAAAATTCCTAGAGCTCCTCCTCCATATCCCTCATTATATTATCTCAAATTGACTTGACATAAATCCTGATCGTTGTAAATTTCATAAAGAGAGACTATACGATCAACCACAAGACATACATTTTTAATCGGTGAACAGTTAAAGAGGCCTCTTGGCCCTCATTATATTTTGGATAAGTGATTTTGGGTAGAGGCACAGAAAAAAAAAATACATGGCATTATTGTAAAGCTTAGAAGAAAATTTTAAAATATTAGGCCTCTATTTTTTTTCCAGGGATAAGTATGCTCCAGCAAACAAAGATAGGTCTAAAAGCAGATTTTAATTTAAAAAAAAATTAATACAAGAATAGTGAGAGGAATGAAAAAAACCTAAAATGGAAGAAATGCTCAAGGAAGGGAATCACTTTAAGAAACATAGTGCTATATAATTGTTCAACCTAGACATGAAAGAAAAAAAGGCAACGTGCACATCAGTAAGTACTAGAAAGACTGAAGCTAGGAAAAGAGCATACAATCTTGGTGGATGAACAGAATACATTGTAATCAAGTGGGAGTAACTGAGAGTTTAAAATAGGGTAACTCCAGGGAAAATTCCAATAAAGGAATCCAACAAACCACACAGGAAACTCCCTTGGATAATTGGGATAGATGCCTAGACATTTTCATAAAATATACACATATTTTAGAAATAATTCTTCAGCAATAGATATGAGTAATTATACAACATTTACTAAGTTTCAAAATGACAGAGCTGCTGTTCATAGGCAAATATGGCAAGTATGTTAAGAGGAGAGATCTGGAGAATTCTTAATGTTCTGTTTCTAAAGAAGTTGCAAGCAGCTTATGAGGCATCATTAGGGAGGTCATGGAGGGTACTGTTCATTTAGAACAGGATGGATGATCTGCTGAGTTGTAACTTTTAAATGGAAGACCACTCACAAAAGTGAGGGTGCCAACATTTGTTCTATTGATAGGTGGTTTGGGTTGAGATGCAATTCATTGAATTACTTCTATCTGCCATGGGAAAACACCAATGCAGAATCTGGGAGAACATGTTTAGAAAACTAATTTCAGGTTTTAGAAATGAAGAAGGAGGAAGAGAAGGGATGATGACCATTGGAACCTCCTGATAGTGATCAAAAAGAAGTAACTAGGGCAACAGTTTAAATTTTGAAAATTTCTGAACTAGCTTGAAAAACAAAAGAAAGAAACAAGACTGGCACATTCTGCTCTTATAGGAAAAAAGTCTGGCAGAAAATGATATTTAACCTATCTCTGAAGTAGAATTATCCCTGATGGTCAAAAGCCTCAGTAAATAGTTCTAGTTTACCTTGGAACAGTCATGTTTCTATAGATAACAGCCTTTCCACACCTTCTCCAAAATACCTTAAAGGCTTAAAGTGAAGCAAATTAAAATATCAATAACATATTTATAATGTAACTAGAGAATGGAGTATTACAAATTCCAGTTTATGACTAGAGGTGCCACCAAAGCAACCAAGACTAAAGGTGGTACCAGAGCCCACGTTGGTATGTGCTTTTAGATGGAGCTGAACAAAATTGTGGGTAGAGGGTGGTAGGGGTGAAATCGAGAAAATATTATACAGATTTGCCTCCCAAAATAGTGAAACTGTGTGGAAGCTAGAAAGAAATTGTGAGGCTTAGAACCTCACAGCACAGACAACAGTAACAAACCAAGGGCTGGGAAAGGCTGTCTGAGGAAAGTATCTCTGAAGAGAGTTGAGGATAGGATGACCTGCAGCTGGTCTGTGCAGCTTCAAATTTGTCTCTGGAGAATCTGGAAGCTTTGTACTGACCTTTGTCCAAG